CTGTAGTGGCGACCCGCGACCATGGAGATATAAACAGCTTTTTATAAGGTAAAAATAATAAAACAAGATCTTTGTCTGCAATGATTAGACATGTTTTTTATTATTGTCATTAGTGATTATCTCAATTTCAGCTAAAAGGATTGACAAAATCCTTCACACTGTACTTTTCTTATTATTGAAATAATTTTTACAAGAGTCATTTTCTGTTAAGGTATTTTACTTAGTTATTTCTTTTAAGTCCTTTATCTACATCGGGACATCTGACTATTAGAACATGGAATGATAGAATGATACCAGGCATAAACTCTGGTATGAAAGGTGTTGGGTAATAGGCATTACTTCAAACTATTCTCTGCTGTATTTCTTTTACGTGATGTAAAGGCTCTGTGCAGTGGGAACAAAAGGAAATACAAACTTACTTATCAAACATGCGGAAAAGTTCAGCCAACTCTTCCTCTGATTTTCCTTTGCTCTCCTCCTTCATGCAGCGGACCATCATCACCAAGAATTCATCAAAGTCAACCGTGCCGCTGCCTGCAGGAACAGGGAGCGACCGTCACAGACTGCTCTCTGCATTCTCCAGCCACTCATTTTTACTGACATGATGTCAGAACTCAACTGGATGGCAGGCAGGTAACGAGAGGTGTTGACTGTAAATGCTGAGTCAGCATTCACACTGTCATTTAAAAACTGATAGTTTCGTACAAACCTCTGCATACTTTGTGCTATTTTAACTTTTCATCTATCAAAATATTACCGGTAAGCTTAAACATGACTGGTGAGGACCTTTAATTTTTCTTTTTTGTTTATTTCTCTTACTTTAAGATTTTTTTCTACTGTTAGGTATGATTGTGCTACCTTTAGCTTTTAGCAAGTGTTTTGCTAAATGTGACTTTTAGCTACTGTTTTCAGACACTGTTGGAATAGTTTTAGTTTTGTTCTGTTTGTTTTAACTTTAACAATTCTGTTTCAGCTTCTTCAACATTGTCACAGAACATTCAAATCCCTCTCACCCTCTCGTGTAAAKGACTGGAAAGCAAAACCTGAAGCCACTCAAGGAGGTTCTGTAGAACTACTGGAGTGCACAGAAACCATGTGAGTATGTGATCTACTGTAGAAACTACAGCGCTAAGCAGAATGAGCAACCGTCTGTATTTACCATTACTGCACATGTTGGTAACATAGAAGAAATTATAAAAACTAATAATCAGATTAACAAAATTATTATTAATATTTTGAGTTTGTATAAGTTATCTAATGTATATCAAAACGTCAGAAAGCTGTGTGTGGTATAGATCAGGGGTTCTTAACCTTTTTGACCTCGGGGCCCAGTTTATTGAACATAAAGTGACACGAGGCCCAGTCAGACATTACCAATGTATGGATCAAAATGATAATTATTCTAAATCTTGGTTTAATTTTTATTGTATTTACATTATAACTAAATTAAACACACCTACATTATAAAAGTAAAACTCCTGTCAAATAACCACAAGATGTGATTATGACAATTTTTTTATATTGTAACCTGCCCATAACAATTATTTGAACAAACGGTCAGTCAACAGACCACTCAGGCTATTCATAAATATATATATTTTTAACATAAACAATAACAAAATAGACAATTCAATAAATAAAATTGTGGGCATAAAATAAATAAATTAAAAATGTTTAAATGTTTCAAATACAAAAAACTGTAAAAATAAATTAGATAAAGTACAAA